TAAAATCGTAATCGAAATAAAATCTAAATCTAAATAATATTGAAATCTAACAAAAATCTAAATCTTAATAAAATTTAAAATAAACTCTAAATAATATCTAAATGTTAAAAACATTTTAACCTGAGGCCAACTTAATTTCATTTTGATTTTAAATAAATAAAACAAAGAAACCCGAGCTGGTTAAATAGAGCTGATTATATAGATTTTGTGAACCTAGCGAAAACTAGCAGCTGTTAAATCTTTACTCTTTTATGTATTAAATATTTTCTTATCGTTCATCTCAAAAGTAAACCAATTTACCAATGAAACGTAACTTTCTTATCGTACTATGAGAAGTGTAAGCCGACAATTTGTCATTCGACTGGCTGATGCCCTCCCTGGGGAGGAGGCGCAGCTCTTGAGCTGACATAAACAATGGCCATTATGAACTATTACGCACTTTACAGTTGCTAAGCCAAGGGCGATGCTCATATCTGAACCAACCCAACCCCGATGAGGGAAACACACCCCCCACCCACACACACACACTCACAGACACACAAACACACACACCCCACTGTTTGCCAACCGCATCGAATCAGTTCAAGTGTTTCTTTTCTCTAATTTCATGGTTTATTTTTTTTTCTGTGTCCCCCGCTTGAAACATTTAGCAATATTTGCCTTATTTACTTTTCATTTGCCTGCCAAACAATCGCATTTTATTTTTATTATCAGCAGACCTATATAAGATTTATCTGTGTGTATATATAGTCACTTGCGTATCGGTAGCAGCACACTCATTATAATGCCTGCCGATTTTGTGGCCAGGGTTTGCGCTTTTCAGCTTACGAGCTGGCAGCTTGGCCAGGATAACCTGGACAAGACACTCCACCCCGCCCGGGCTGATGATCATTCATTTGGGATTTTTGCGTGTCTCGGTCGTGAAGTCGCCGGGCGTGCAGCTCAGCTCTGGGAACTTGGCAGCTGTTTAACATCCGCTTTTCTACACCTATCCCTCTCCAGCAACTCTCCCTCAGTTGCTTTCTCTCTCAGTTGCTCTGCCACTTATCATTAATTTTTCTACCGCATTTCTCTGTCTGGCATTCTGACATTTTTGCTTTTGCCCAGCTCTGGTCTCGTTCCTGTTTTGACATAATTGTTTTTGCTTGGCTGCGTTTGTACTTCAGCTTCCTTCTGCTCTCTACCCTAATTAATTGATTAGCTTCAGCAAATCGGTCAATATGTTTTCCCGTTTCTTTTTCACAACTGTTTCTGTTTTTATTGCTCTACACTTTGAGGATGCGTAATGAGTTGCTAATTAGATTTGAAGATAGCTATGTGTTTTTTTTCCCGCCTCTGCATGATGCCCTTCGGCACGCTTGAGAGTTTGGGCAGGTGTTCGAAAGTTGGACTTAAACTCTGCACAAGTCAAACGTTACTATACTTTGATTTAAATATGTTTAAAAATTAATTGATAGTTTGCAAATGTAAAATTAAAATGTTAATTTGTATACCTTGAACCCATTAAAAATACGTAGAAAAGGGTAAAATGTTTGTAACAAATGTATGTAACAGGCAGAAGGAAGCATCTTCGACCCTATAAAGTATATATATATTCTTCGTCAGTATCAATAATCGAGTCGATTTAGTTATGTCCGTCTATCTGTCCGTCTGTCAGTCCGACTGTCCGTCTATCCGTTTGTCTATCCGTCCGTCCGTCTGTCAGTTTGTATGAACGTATCGATCTATAAGAGCTGGAGACTAAAATTTTGATTCTTTCAAGTGCCTGTGCAGTGCGATTTTGTTTCCGATAATCGATAACTTGCACCGCAAACGATAAAAATCGATATCGAAATCAAGTTATTTGAGGAAATCTCTTAGATTTGAAGAGTCACCAAATTTGACATTAAGCTCCTACAATAGTGTAAACAGATCAAGTATGTTTCATCTTACAATAACCGGGCGCGTACTGCGAGCTGTATTTGGTGTTGGTAGAAGAAGGTTTAGGGTAAACCCTCTTACCTGTTTTTCATTATTTTTGGTGCCTTAAAACCTAACCTAAGTACATTCTAGAGAATTGTCTAGCTGCATGCAGCCTGAGACTTTCACATGAGAGCTACGTAGCCGAAGATATACAATGCATTATTTCATTTGATGGGTCTGAATATATCTTTCATATTTTCGATTATTAAACAGAACAAAATGAATTTTATTTTAATAACTAGGCTAAAAATATAATGAATTTCTTCTCTCACAAATATGTTAAAAGCAATTCAATTATAATACTAAACCCGCTTTTACCTTGAGTGATATTTTACACCAATCCTAGCCTCAAGTGGATACAAATATACTTCAAGATTATACAATTGAAGTTCTTCTTTTAATAAATATTTAAATTACTTTAATTCTCTCCATTAAACACCGCTTTGACCTTTCTGCGTGATATTTTATACCAATCTCAGCCTCAAATGGCTGCGTGAAAGAAAGGAAAAACGCCTCCAGTCAATTAACGTTGTGCACGGGGCGACACGACTTTTGCATTTTGCATTCATAACTTTTTTAGCTCTATCAAATCAGTCGGATTTTCATATCAATTTTCTTTGCCGCAACTTTTGTGAGCGACGGCAAACAAAATGGCGTCGCTGCCAGTTGGAAAAGACTTCATTTCTGGCGGAGGCGTGGCTGGGGTGAGGTTGATTTAAAAGCGCAGCCAAGGAAAAATTAAAATTTTACAATTTTTGCTTATGCCCTTAATTTTTTGCCTTTTTCACACGTTTCTTTGTTTGCCCGACGGGCTGCGACAAAAAGAAGTAGAAGAAGAAGCAGAAGCTGAAGCACGAAAGTGTCGCGTGCAAAGGGTTAGCATGACCCAAGGTTGGGTCGGGGTTTTCAAGTTTTTCGAGTCGAAGGCAGGGGTTTGCTTTTGCGCCCAACTTTTTTTTTCCGCCAACCGCAGTTTTTAAGAGTCGTTCTTTTTCGCCGTCGCCGGGTAAAATGTTGTCGCAAGTTTGCTTGATGCGCCGCTTAACCCGCAGCGTAAAAATTTGATGAGTTTGGCATTTTCTTTAATTGAAATTTGTGATCTTTTGAAAGCTTTGAGACTTGCTGCACACACACACACACACACACGCACAGTGGAGCTACTAGTAGTTTCGTGTGGCCCCGGGGGCCGTCAAGTGGCTGCAGTCACTTTGCACAGACGCTCGCTCACACATGCGATTAGCTGCGGATTAAAATGTCACCCCTTTTTGCGCTGCGTCACGCACAAGGTAGTAGATACAAGCGCACACACACAAACACACACTTACACACGCTATAGATACATTTAATTACAAACAAATAAAAGTCATGACAGCAGCCCACACACGCACATGTCAGCCCAGGTCCAGGCCATGGGGCATATGCAACAGTTCACACGACCAGGCCAGGTTCGACTACCAGAGAGCTGCCGTTTTCCATCTTTGCATCTCTCTCTGCGCATTTTAATAATCGGTTTATTATGCATGCGTGTGTGTGAGTGTGTGCGCCTCAAGAAGCTACTTATACGTAGCCAAGTGTTATTTACTATTTGCTATTTGGTTCGGCAGTTCCAACCCACACTTCAAAGCAAAGTTCAGCAAAGTATGCTGGGCGGCCATCAAAAAAAAAAAAAAGTAGAAGGAAAGAAGAAGAAGAAAGCCACTGTCAAAGTATCTTTGAAATTAACTTTATTTATTTAACTACTTAAAAGCAGATTAACGCAATTACACACTTGAACTGATTTTATGCAAAACAGTTGAGCAAACGGAACGCACTCGCAGGCAAACAAAACGAATCCGAAACAAAGGAAAATAGATTGTTCGACAAGATGAAAACGGCCAAATCAGCGAAAAATCTATGGAAAAGCTCAGAAAATTTACAAAATATATATAAAACAAAAAAAAAGGAAGCAAAAAAGGCTTTCTTTGACACGCCGCAGATTAAATAACCTTAAGCGGATGGGCAAATGCTTTTCTATATGATGGTTCCCAGAGAAGCCATAAATCTTTATTTATATATGTTAATATTTGGCATACATGTAAGGAAAACTTCAAAGTTTACCTTTGCTGGGTTTGATGACAATTAGGAGCTCTTATGCCTATAGAGCTATATGCTAGAAAAAGTATATTCACAAAATATGTCTCATATATTAGTAGTCAATGCCAGGTTTGGTACTGAGCAAAACAAAGTTTTTCATATAAAAACTTAGTGTTCAACCGATAAGTCCTATGACAGTTATATGACATAGTGGTCCGATGTAGATAAGATTTTGCTCCCATATAAAATATATACTTTATGGAGTCGGAGATGTCTCCCTCTATGCCTAACACACCTCAAGACAAAATTATATTATATACAAAGTTTTCCATTCAATAAGCTACTTTTCAATCGAACATACCTATGGCAGCTATATGATATAGAGCTCCGATGTTAAAAAGACTTTGCATATATATATATACGGATTATAGTGAGACTTATAAATGCCAAGTTTGGTCAAGATATCTTGATAAACAAAAAAATGTTCCATACAATAACTAAAGTTTAACCGATCGCCCCTATGGCAGCTACATGATATAGTGCTCCGACGATAGAAAGATGTGGCTCTCATGTAAGGAGCATAGTAAAGCTAATAAATGCCAAGTTTGCTCGAAATATCTTGAAAAACTTAAGAGCTGATAATATTAGAATTTAATTTAGGACCCATCCTTTCCATGACAGCAAAATTATATAGTGATCCGAACAAGCTAGCTCCTACTGTCTGTAAAAGAAAGACAATAGCTTCAGGACTGAGCGACTAGTTTGCACGGAAACAGACAGACAGAAAGACGAACATAACTAAATCGGCTTGGCTAATCCTACTGCTCAAGACTATGTATATTTTATGGGGTCCGAGAGGTCTCCTTCGATAATGATGACCATAATAATGCTTCCGCATGCTGTCTCCGAGCATTCTATTTTTATTTACTCATCTCAAAGTTATATTTTTCTTGGCTTCATTTTAGCTGTGCAGCACGAGCGCGGTCCACGCAAGCCGAAGCTGCATCCGCAGTTGCATCATCATCATCATCATGCGGCTGCTGCTGCTGCGGCGCATCATGCGGCCGCTGCCCACGCCCACCACCACCATCATCATCATCATCACGCACACGCGGCGGCGGCGCATCATGCTGCGGCGGCTGCCGCTGCTGCCGCCGGACTGCATCATCATCATGGCGGCCATTTGCCGGTATCGCTGGTGACCAATGTCTCGGCCTCGTTCAACTATACGCAGCACATCTCGACGCATGCACCGCCGGCTGGCTTTCATCTGGCCACGGGCGCACAGCCACCGCCGACGCATCCACACCAGACGCATGGAGCACATCCGGCACAGCAGGCAGCATCACATGCGACGGCCTTTCATCATCCTGGCCATGGACACGCGCTGGCGCCACCCGGCGGTCTACAAAATGGCAATGTCAGCGGCAGCGGCAGCGCTGCTGGTGGTGCCTCTGCCGTGGCCATGTCCTTTCCGCCCCACCTGCTCCATCACAATCTGATTGCCGAGGCGGCCAGCAAATTGCCTGGCATTACGGCGGCAACGGCAACGGCCGTGGCCGCTGTGGTTTCCACGTCGCCCTATGGCGCCCAGGCGACGTCGGCGACAATTGGCAGCAACCACAACAACTACTCATCGCCCTCGCCCAGCAATTCCATACAGTCCATATCGAGCATTGGTTCGCCGAGTGCCGGAGCTGGTGGCGACGAGGTTGGCAGCCTGAGCCTGGGCAGCGAGAGTCCGCGCGTTAATGTGGAAACGGAGACGCCATCGCCGTCGGCATCGCCACCCTTGAGCGCTGGCAGTGTATCGCCGGCGCCGACGTTAACCGATTCACAGAGCCGGGCCGCATCCAGCACATCGCCGCATCCGGCACAGGGCTCGACGCACTGCCTCAGCGAAGCCTCGCATCGGACCAACAATAATGCCACGACGCCGCCCAGCAATGCTGCGCTCCTCATGCACAGCATTCATGTCAACAACAACAACAACAACAATAATAACAACAACAACAACAATGCTGGCAGCGGCGACAACAACACCAAACAGCTTAGCTACACATCGGGCTCACCCACGCCCACAACACCGACACCGCCTCCGGCTCTGCAAACGCCGCGTGCCACCGTCGGCGGCTGCCACGCCTCGAACGGTTTTCTGGAACTGCTGCTCAGTCCGGACAAATGCCAGGAGCTCATCCAGTACCAGGTGCAACACAACGCCCTGCTCTTCCCTTCGCCGCTGCCACAGCATCTGCTCGACTCGCGCCTGCTCTCCTGGGAAATGCTCCAGGAGACGACGGCGCGTCTTCTGTTCATGGCTGTGCGCTGGGTCAAGTGCCTGATGCCGTTCCAGACGTTGTCCAAGAATGATCAGCATCTACTGCTACAGGTGGGTACGATTTAATTTCTAAGGAATACTTCTCCAAGAACTATCACCAACTGGCGGATATTAGCCGGCATTGCACGTTCAAAAACCTTCGCGTATTATCTTGAAACCCTATTTTCACCCAGCCCAGTGGATTTGCTGTAATAGCGAAAAATGTTCTTATAAAATAAATTCCAAAAAATCAGAATTTAATGGCAATAACAAAAATTTGCATGCAAAACTTTTTGATGCTTAAACAATCAAAATCAAAATAGAGATGTGTATGTGAGATCTTCGAAATAGAAAGTACCTACGGATACGATATCACATGTTATTTTGGTTTATTGTTGCTGTAGACAGATATTTAATCGGGATTGCCCGCAGCCAAAAAGACATACATATAATGCATAAAAAGTTAAAGAGTGGAAATTTGGAGAAAAATGTTCAATTTTTTTCGGATCGGCTTCAAACTCACTTTCACAGATCTGTGTAAAAATTCATTTCAGATATTTTTCGCTAGATCCACGGCTCTTGAAAAGAAAATGCGTGTCAAAAGTTTAAATAAACGAAAGTTTATTTTTAGCCCCAAGATTCTCACCACAAGACTAACATGTTTTAACCTTTGGTTTTTATTCGAGGAACTGTTACTGGGTTAACTGGGTAAAAAATGTATATCTAAAATATTAAGCACAAAAATTGACAGGAGCAAGGCAGGGGAATACTGGCTTGCCAATAATATTATATATATATTTTTAGAACATACAGAACATATGTATATCATAATAACAAAATTGACTTACCCCATTTATTTTCTCAATATTTCATTTCCAATTATAGGAGTCCTGGAAGGAGCTCTTTCTGCTCAATCTCGCCCAATGGACCATACCATTGGATTTGACGCCGATACTAGAATCGCCGCTAATCAAGGAGCGCGTGCTGCAGGATGAGGCGACCCAAATGGAAATGAAGACCATACAGGAGATACTCTGTCGATTTCGCCAGATCACGCCCGACGGCAGCGAAGTGGGCTGCATGAAGGCGATTGCATTGTTCGCGCCGGAGACCGCCGGCCTGTGCGATGTGCAGCCCGTGGAGATGCTGCAGGATCAGGCGCAGTGCATACTGTCCGATCATGTCCGCCTGCGCTATCCACGGCAGGCGACACGCTTCGGACGACTGCTGCTGTTGTTACCCTCACTGCGCACAATTCGGGCGGCGACCATTGAGGCGCTCTTCTTCAAGGAAACTATCGGCAATGTGCCGATAGCGCGACTATTGCGCGATATGTACACTATGGAACCGGCCCAGGTGGACAAGTAGATGGCTGTCGGGCGTGGCATGCTACCAAATGTAATCAAAATCGATGCGCGCAGCATTTAAGCGGCAACAATTTTTGTCACACTTGCAAAAATATTTGTGCTCCAACTAAAAAATAAAAACAAAAATGAATAAGAAAAATTGATAAAAAAAAAGACGATAAAAAATAAATGAAAAAAATGTTGCTAACTCGACGCGACTGCAGCTGCGACAATTCACAGCGCAGAGCGTTCATGTAATAGATACATTGCCACGCCCCTTCCCCGCCGCACACTCCTCCCCCTTCAGGCGCCGCTGGCTGCTTTGCACGTTGATTTATAGCTCTGTTCGCGAGTTATTCGCTTCTCTTTTTTTTTCTAACATTTTATATATATATATGTTTTTCGTGTGTCTCCTCTTCACTTTATTTATCTTTCATTCGACGTTTTGTCGTCGCTTTTCTAAAAATTGCTCATGTTATTTCAGTTGCCTGGCAAGCAACCGGCGACCTGTAAGCCCCCAGCCCCACGCTCCCTTGACCTGCTGCAGCAACAAGCTCCATTCCATGCAAAGCCAGTTTCTTTTTTTTACTCTCCACTTTTACCTTTTTCACGTTTTGGCTTTATTATACCCTGCCAGAGAGTATTACAAATATATCAGAATATTAACAGAACTTCTGGATAGTATCTTCATATGACCAGGTATAAGCTGAACAATCATTTCTAGATTATAACGCCCTGTACTCATTATAAATATGCAGAAAAGTTGTATTGTTTTTCACAATATTTTACTTCATTTCCAAAATATCGATAGTTATCGATTTTGAAATAAAGTATTTTAAGCATAGCTCGAAACTATATCAGCTGGAGATACCAAATTTGGTATTTAGGTTCCGATTTAAAATATTTCACTTTGTTTAAATTACCAAATTATCCAAAATTGATATAGAAAGAAAGATCTTTTAAAGCTTAAGCCTTTGGTTTTCATATATGCATTAATTTCCATTTCAAAGCCTTAATCCTATGTTCTGATGTACCTTCACATACTCTAACCAGCTTTTCCATTTCGAAATGATCAATGGTTATCGATTTTTAAATAAAGTAGCTGAAGCAAAGCTCGTAGTCTATAATAGCTTGAGACTACAAATTGGGTATTTAGGTTCCGATTTGATACTTATAGTTTTTGAAGAACAGCCCCTTATCCCCCAAAATATAAAAATAAATTTATCTTAAAGGCTTAAGCCTTCTGCTTTGGTATGTGCTCAGATATCAAAGCCAAACTCAAGCTCTAAACATTTTCAAAAGATCGGACAATGAGCACCGAGTTTCTTTAAGAATGGGGTTTAGCAAAGAAGGAGCACAGCTGCTGGTACAGGGTATCTCTGTCTCGACTAAATCACGCTTACTGCTTTCAATTACATTATTTGCCTTTCAAATTGTCTCTGTGTAATATTGATGCCCTGATGTACCCTAACATACTCTAACCATCTTCGTTTTACCTTTCAATTTCAGTGTCCTCTGTATATCATCCCATTTCCCATTTCATAAATTTTCTGCTGCTTTCGTTTATGAAATTTTCCAGTTTTTTTTTATTTTTAGTTCGCCAACGTGTTTAGAAATCGTGGAAAATGAAAAAATAACTTTGCCGCAGGTCAAGCGCCCAAATGTATGCTCAATGTTTTGCCTCTGTTACCTTTTGCACATTTGTTGGTTTAATGTTTCAGTTAGTTATACATACCTATACATATATAGATATATATATAAATAAATATTTAAGAGCGAGTGTAACACATATAGCGTAAATATATATATATTGGTGCCAGCTTTGTTTATGAATTATTAAATGCCAAATGCTTTATAATTGATTATTGCCAAACGAAATTTGTAAAATGGTATTTGCATTGAAACATTGCAAAAATGACAACAGAAAATATACAGAAGATATAACAAATACATTCATAAAAAAAGCAAAAAACCTAGTTATACAATAATAGTTGGAAATAGTATGTAAATCGCAACAGCTGTTGGCCCCAGCGAATATATGCAAATTAATTATTATGTGCACAAAAATATTTAAATAAATTTAAATATGATACAAACATTGAGAATCGAATTTTTTTAAAATTTTTTTCGGAGGGGATTTTGCAGAAATTATGTGTTGAAAAGCGTCCAAAATGGGTTTATTTCATTTAAATCCCATTAACATTTTAGCAATACTTTGCTGATAGTACTTTGCGAGTTATTGGACAATAAGTGTGGTGTATTTGTTGAAGAATATTATTATCTACAAAAACTGTATATTTTTTATAATCATTTACTACAGCAGTTGGTTGAGTAAGTGTGTGAATCATAAAGTATTCTATATTCAATAAGAATTATTTGAAGACTGAAAAAGGTTTTTAATGGGCTTTAATAATCTTTAGCTGAGCCGGGTATACACGACTATATGTATTGAAAATTTAAAAACTCCAGCTTGAGACAACCGGATAGAGCACAAAATCAAAATAGGTTGTCAGTTTGTGCACAGAGCATAAACAATTTCCTTTTTTTGACACCATTTACAGATTCAGCAGATTACAGAGTATGAAAAATGCGACCTATTGAGCAGCACTTTGAGATTCATAGAATTTAGAAAGTGCCACATTTCCACAATACCATAAAAGGTGGAAATACACTAGCTAAAATTATTTGCTATTCTATAATTACTTTTATTAGATATTTAGGTAGATATTTGCTAAAAAATCTATTTACTAATTAATTTGAAGACACTTCTCAATAGCCAACGTATGCCAAGGAAACTTTTGTGTGTAGGTACAATTTTCGGATTAATGTTCAGGAAAATTTGCATTATTTTTAGTATATTAAAGTCCATTATAGACTGAAAATGATGGCATATTAACAACACAATTATCTACGCATCTTTAATTCTCTGTTTTCTCTAGACCTACCTACTTTCAGGGCACATTACGCTAATCACAAAGCTTTTCGTGGATAATGCAAAGATTACAATAAATTGTACTACGTATTCTCCCACGAACTTTTTATCCTGCTAGTGAAATCATTGCTTTCACGATACCTTCGGGAACTTAAATAATAAATATTTCCTATCAAGTCCCATCACTATCTCTTTACCCTATCTACTTAATATTCTATATCAGATTACAAATGACTTTAATTTTAAATAAGTTTTTCTCCTTTGTTCTTTTTATTATATGTTTCAGATAAAGTAGTTAATTGAAACTGTCTTTGATTTTTACTTAAGAATACTATTTTTTCTATAAACACCTTTCTTCTTAGCTGTGAAAAGCCGACCGGTCGGGCAAATAAAATACCTTCATCGTGTCGTTGATGCTATTAAAAATATTCACATTCTGATAAGGCTTTAAGATTTTGATTTTTCTAGTCTAATGCTTTCAATACTTCGGTTGACACACGTTTTGTCTACCATTAATATATAAATAAATAAAATGTACACACGTAAGTATTTTTAAGTATTTTCTTTGATTACGCACCAAGTTTATGCCCGAAATTGTACACTTCGAATTTTATATAGAAAACAGTAAGACTTTAATTAATCCTTTCTAAAAGTCTGCACTTTGGGCCGACAACTTATTCATAAAGGTATTTACTTATAAATAAAAAAAAAACCTAGACAATTATGAGTGCAACCCTTCTATATACTATCTAGATATAGCTTACCCTTAGATATATGCCTGTCCCAACTAACTCCGTCTACTTTTGCTGCTGTTGCTTGTCGCCTAATGCACTGGAAGAACTTTACCAAAAAACATGCAAATTTCGTTGGCACTAAACAAATAACAGACGGACCCGAACAAACCAAGCAAACCAAAGTAAATTGTGTTAATGGAAGTAACAAGAGCAAAAAAAAAGCAATTAAAACAATTAAGTGACGCGTTTCTTTGGGCCACACTATTTGCCAAGTACGAATGTAACAAAAAAAGGAACAAAAATCCGAAAAAAGGAAACCAAAAATGGTGGCATTAAAAAATGTGCCAAAACATTTCATTTCGAGAGCCAAGCGAGCGACGCAAATACGAATAAAAAATGTAAATCATAAAAATAAAAATAATAAAAAAAAAAATGAATATTGTATAAAAATCCGCAATTTGTATGCTGTCGCATATTCTTGTGTAATGCTTAAGCATTGTCCAAAGGCCGTTGGGCGGTGGGCGGTGTGGGGCGTGGCTGTGCTTATATATGCTGTCATAAATACATGGAACGACTGAATGCTTTGATAAAGGACATGTGCGGCTCTATTATTGATGCCAGCTTGTCTTGGGCTGTCATCAAAGGACGTGCCATTGTTTGAACCGAATGTCTTGGCAAAAGGTAAGACATTTGCTTATTTTACATACACATCTGGCAAATGCCTTTGGGGGCATTTCACCCCCGACTCCCTCTCTCGCTCAACTGGCGTAGATGGTGTCCAGAACGTACCGCACGCAGACCGCTGGACATGTTGCATCCTTTTGGCAAAAACTTTCGTTGTCGTTCGTTTCTTTTCAACACTTTTTACTTGGCCATGGGCAATACATCTTGGACCACAAAACACAAAATCGTCTTAAGTATTTTGTGTGGTTTAAATAAAATAAAAATAATAAAAACCATCTCTCGCCATGCCTGTCTCTGTGTGTTTGTGTGTGTGTGTGTGTGTGTGGGTGTCTGCATAAAGGGATAAGCATAGTACATCCGCTTAACGTTGTGTATTTTCTTCGCTTAGTCTTCTTGTCTTGGCATTCAACTTGGGTCTCGTTTTGCGTAAATGATTTTATTTCATTCTTTTGTGGCTTGCTGTAAAATTTTGATATACTATTATTCTATGCCCAGATCCAATGTCCGTCATTGTTTTTTATGGACAGACACTCACACACACACACACACACACACATTGCACAACAATCGCATATCCTTACATGCCCCATCCAAACCCATTCACACATCATCTTTGCCATCATCATCAGCCGCATGACATGGCCAAAAGGTGGCTGCTGCTGCATATTGGACATGGATGTGCATGCCCCGGCCATCTGATGGCTATGTGAATTCTGCCACTTGTTGTCGTCCACCTCATCTGCATGTGTGTGCGTGTGTGTGGGCAAAAGGATTGATGGGCGCGTCACATGGTAATTTGGGCGTGGGCATAGAAATTGCTCATACGCCTAGTCAGCCATAGGCAAAGCATTGTATCTGAGTGATTCGAAGATATGGAAGGGGCAGCTGAAATTCATACAGTTGTAAGCAGGGACTTTGTCCAGCTAAGCCGCAGATTTCGTGCATAAGATAATGGCCATTGGAACCCTAAATAATTCACCCGAATTCCATCTCATGGCAATGTGCCTAATAAGGCGGAGCGATCAGTGTAATCAAAGTAAGAATGTTCTTATTTATTTTTTTTTGCAAAGTTCTTTTTGCATGCTATTATTATTTAAAGTCTGCATTTAAATCTGCGAATATTTTTTTGACACTTCAACTAGGCTTTGGTTGAAGGAAGATATATGAATTTTGTGACATATAAACTACAACACATAGTGAAAAAACGCACTTAAATTTAGTTTAAAAAACCTTACTTGTAATTATTGCCACCTGTATAAAGTCTGGAAACAAGCAAACTTTTTGATTAACTAGAAATGAGCTCGAAGAATCTTTACATAAATTTCCAGCTCGGGTTTGTATCCTTCTGCTTATAATTTTATAATTGATGTACAGAGTTTCATGCTTTCATATTTTTATTTCGCAAGATTATTTTAAATGTTCAATTAATAGCAAATAAAGCACAGATCAAGTTTGTAAAATCAAGAACTAAATCTCTATATAAAGATATATATAAAAGAAACAGATAATAAATAAAGACTACATGATTTCCGCTCATTTATGCTACTTTTTAATGCAATGCATTTGGCAAGGAGAAATACAGAAAATTAAGGGATGGATAGGTGAGTGGGCGATAATCGTGATTGCCATGCTGCACAAAATCACATTGCGAGCTGCTGTTGCTGCTGCTGCTGCTATGAAATACCATGGAAACAAGCCAATCCGCACGCCACACCAGAAACAGAACCAGAAGCAGAACCAGAATAGACACAGACTGGGACTCAGACACAGACGCAAAGCAGGAGCAAGTCAGGCCACGAGCGTAACGTGCAACTTTCCAGCTTTCGCCGCAATCAATTTTACGGGTGCACAACAACAGCAACAGCAAGAATTAGAGCAACCCCGTGTAGAGAAACCAACCCAAGCCAAAGCCCTAGCCCAAAAACCGAAAACCGAAAACCAAACCCAAGCCCAAACCAACTCGATGCGACACGATTCATCCACATCCACACATATGAAGGGCCAAACGGCGTTAGACACGCAACACGAACAGCGCCCAGCACGTGGTCCAGCTCACATGAAGGTATTAACGCGTAACAACATCGCTGCATGATTAACCTCCTCCATTGGGATGCGCACGGCGAACGGGCATTGCCTGTGTGTGGGCGTGGCAGTGGTCAGCTATGACTCTGCGGGCCTAGCTTTAGCCATGTACTAGTCGAAGCTTAACGTCGAGCACCTATGACTATGGCGACAACGGTTACATAGCTAATCACCTGACACCTCCTCAGCCAACAACTGCAACAGCATCAGTTCAATGCCCAGAAAAACTGAAAGGTCAACATATACTCAACAAGTCCGAAATGTCTTTGTTCACTATTCATGTTTAGCTTAAATGCAAAAATATTACTAGTCAACACTATTTAAAAAAAAATACGAATTTCATATTTAATGTTATGAAACCTGAACAAAAATGATTAAAGTTTAAAAATACTTCTCAAGTAGAGTTTAGAAAAAACTTATTTTACACGTATTTTTAAGTAAATGTAAATAATTTCTTTAAAAAAAAATAAACAATGCGAATTACCAACTATAATTTAAAACAAATTTGTTGATTAACAAATAAATCTTTTCCAAGAAAGGAGACGAAAAATTATGTTGATTAAAAACACGTTGGAATTTTTTAATGTTTAAAACATCTATCAATAAATAAAACTGTTTCACCCAACTGATTTTGCATTAATAGGAATAGTTGTTAGGCCAATTTAGACCTAATGTGTATAAAAAAAAAAGAAGAAAATCCCCAGTAATACTACTAATTATACTAGATATCAAAGATGTGGACAGGTTTTAAATCGAACTGATTCGAACTGGGAACTCCAATTTGAAAGCCATTACAGTCCGCAGACCAAATAAAGGTGAACTCAAACCTAAACCAAAACAAAAAAATTGTTCATAGAAAAGGAATTGAATTTTTGTAGAAAACATTTTTAACGATATTATAATAATATGTAATATATAAAAATATAAAGCATATAAAGTTAACCAAGTTAAATCAGGTACCTCGCTTGAATAATTTAAATGACATTAAATAATGGGATGGAATGATATGAAGTATCTATTATAGCGGTTTTTGTTCTTAATGTTTGAGGTTTGCCGGAAACCAACAGCCTCTTAATAACATCAACACCTGGAACGGGGTGCACCACCCAGACATAAAATGCCATTGTAAGCACTCTCATCCACTTGACCAATGGCTTTTATTGCCCCGTCTATACGAAAGTAACCCGTGCGTTGACATGGCAGAGTTCTAAGACTGAGACTCTAAGAGCAATACTGTCGCTGGTCGGATAGGATAATATAAGCGATGCTATGAGTTTTGCAATAGATCCTTATTGAACGCATTGAACCCGCCGATGGTTTAATACCACCAAGGAGTAGGTAAACTTAAATTGTTTTTAACACATCCGTTCTGTTCGTCTTCGTATCGACATATGTTTGGGTATACGATTATTTAAATTATGGTATTAATTACTCATTTTAATTAACTTAATAGAAGTTAATATGTTAAGTTGGGTAACATGTGACCAAAACCGTAAGGCACAAACGTAAGCTAATGTCAAAAATGTTAATACGAAAAATTGAATTTCGCGCGCAGTTAACAGTGAGTTAACAGCATTAAACTTAACAGTTCATATGAGCATAGGGGAGGGTAGCAACTAACCATAAATAATTATGATTATATATATAAATATATTCAAACTTATTTCTATTGTCGGAAGTGCATATTGCATTTTCAAATTTATAATAATTTGAATCAATTGAAAAGGAAAAAAACGATAACAAATCAGCTGTTCAATGCAAAATCAAAACAAACATAAGGAATGGAAATCAACAAATATCGAAAATTGAATATTATGCTCATAAATAAAGCTAAGTCAACAGAAATCTTTTGGAGAATATAGTTTTTATACATTCAAGCGATTTTCTTATAAATTTACTCTTCCCAAACACAATTTTTAATCGTAAGCAGCTGTTCGCGCCATCTTTCAAACCAAAAAGCAGTACTCGAAATTAATAAAAAAAATTAATTCTTGTTTTGTTTTTTTTTTCATATTAAGCTTATTTCTAAAGCAAAATTAAAAGTATAATATTTGTTCGAAATATGCCAATTTATGCATAATATTCGATTTCTCGATACACACTATCGCTTGGCAATCAATAATGTTATCGATATCTATATCGCTGCGTACTCTTGCAAATACGCGTTTACTGAATAGTATTTATTAAATGTGCCGTGGTTTCGACGTGTCAGTTCGTAGTAAATAATTCGCTGAGCTAGTCGCAAATTCCAAGAGTCTGACACGCGTACAAATCAATCGACGGAGTTGAAAACACTTTGCCATACAACAACAGCAACAACAAAAACAATAATTAATACAGCAGCATGGCGGAAAAAGTAAATGTTTGCATCGTTGGCTCCGGCAACTGGTGAGTGCATTAAGAACAATAACAACGTCATTAGTTATATAATAATTGCATATTACACCTTGTAATTTTTAACCTTGTGCAGGGGTTCGGCCATAGCGAAAATCGTGGGCGCCAATGCGTCCGCTCTGCCCGAGTTTGAGGAGCGCGTCACAATGTTTGTCTACGAGGAGATGATTGATGGCAAGAAGTTAACGGAAATTATCAATGAAACGCACGAGAATGTTAAATACCTGAAGGGACACAAACTGCCAAACAATGTGGTGAGTAAAAAAAGCGCAAAGTCATATATAACTGAGGCGGCTAACTGTTAATTAAAATCGTCAACATAAAAAATAGGTGTGAAAATAAAAACCGCCGCTTCTGTTATGCAATATTTGTATTAGTTTTAGTGCAATTATTAACAAGTGCAGCGACGGCTGCTGCCCCTTACATAAAAGACGCCGCTGCCTTGATCTTGGCCGTCGTATTTAAGTCAAATTATCTAATCAGATGAATGCGCGGACGTACGGTGGGGACATGCACATACAGCTATTTTTACAACTCACCTCGCGCACTCTCACTCTCTCACACTCTTGGCGAACGCTGCACTTTTTTTTCAGGGCCAATAGCAAAAAAAAGTTTCGCCTTGCTCTGACGTCTGCACACAAACGAAACTTTCTGCCAAGCTGGCAGTGACAGTTCTGCCTCTGTGTCTTTGACGTAGGTCAAGGCCGGCTTGACGTGCGCGCTCACACTCTCTTATGCTTGCTCTCTTAATTGTTGTGCTTGGCTCACACTAAGAGAAGCTAAGTGCAAAAACAATTATGCATGCCACAGTCGACAGCAACTGTGACAGTTAGACAGATCAATGTTATCGTATTATATTTATACAGAAATTTACACATACAAAGCAACAATTTGCACAGTTGAACTGATAAGAGGAGCAACATGCGGGCAGAGCACTTGACTGTTTGTATTTGCTGATTATAGATAAGCCGCCTTGTTAGCAGGTCATGTTAAACACGCTATTTTAGTTGTTTCGATAAAGTACCGCCTAATAAATATGTAATGGCCTGTACTACATTTCGGTTCGGTTTGAAAGGTAACAACAAGTACATTTCGAATTGTTTTTTGTTTTGAATTCAATCAGTTTTTTATGAAGTATAGTGAAATAAATATGATGTATGCCAATTACTATTTTTTCCGACAACTTACACTATTTAAAACGTCTAGATTTGCTCGGATAAAATACCTTTAGTTATTAATTAAATGGAATTTTCCGTGCGAGCTAAAGCATCAGTAGAATTTTAGGATTTCGACTTGAACAGCTGTCACTGCAGCATTGATAAAAGAGAAAAACAAATTAAATCGTTACTATGTCTGTTCCTATTGTGATTCTATATAATTTTACGCCAGCGCGGCTGGCTGTATATTATGCGTGCATACCCACATATATACCTAAGCTTTTATAGCTATGCTTTTTGGCAATCTTTCAATAGTGAAAGCAACAACAAAAACTTATTTTTTTATATAGCTTATAAACAAACAACCATGGGCCAATGTCAAAAATGCAGGCAAATCAAAAGTTAAACGACTTAAAAATGTTTTTCTTTTTTTTTAAGAAATCGACACACTGTTTATTTATAGTTGCCTGATAAGGGAACTAGTAGAAAATCAAATAAAATATTGTAGCGGAAAACTATTTAGTTTTCTGATAACAATTTGTTTGTTTTCTAATCTATTTTTATACCCTAATACTTTTGACATGATATGTGTCACGCATTGAAGAAAGCATTATCTATTCGTGTATATATCTTTGGAATGATAAACTGGGCAAATATATGGATTATCAATGTGAAAACTTTACTGTAAATAGAAATTTTAATTTCGCATAAAAATACAAAATGTATATTTAACTCTATTTCCTACAAAATGAATTTAATTAATATGTTATTTAGATGAAAGATAGTTTGTATTAATTATGCACATGATTAGAGGTGGGTTAAGCAATTATTTATTTGACTTAAAACGCGATTAATGTTTTGCACAGTTGATTATCAACTGCTGGAAAACAAGTGCAAATGAATAACTTTTTACAAGCAAACGAATCGATTAAATGCATTTAGTTCGAACCCATTAAACTTTGTGCTTGTCGCTTTAGTTATGGAAAATGTTTTCGCAATAACAAAACAAAAAGCAATTTTGCATGTTTTACGCCCTAAAACCAATAAACATTTATAAAAACAATAGGGTATAATGTTTCGGTGCAAGTGTATGTAACAGGCGAATAGAATATATATATTTGATCAGGAAAACAAGCAGTCTGTTTAGATATGTGCCTCTATAGGAACGTGGTGTTATCTTAAACTATAATACAAAGGCTAAACACAAGCTAACTCGGGCATTATAAGAGATAAGAGATACTATATTTGATATATTATCTCTCGTATAGCATACACATAGAAGAAATATTTAACTTGTTGTACATCGTTGCGCTTTGATATTTGTATTGTATTGCATGAGATATTTAAGTACTAAAAACTTCATTAAGATCTGACTATAAACAGCGAAGTTATTAAAGAACGCAGTTTCTATAATATGAGGCTGAGAAAAGAAGAAGCACAGCCACAATATATGTGCACTAGACTTGAGACTAGAGCACTCTTGTTAAAAGTAATTAGCTTTCTTTAGATTGTTTAATATGTATAAATTTAAAGTCCAAATATTAGCAGAGTTTCGGGGTTTTTTGTTTGGTCAAAAACTGGTTGTCTTATCTACAGCGAATATAAATCGCAAAAAGAAAGACATAATATACGAGATAGGTATCTCGCCTGAACTTTATACCATAACTTAACAGTTATATAAGGCTTACGCCAACGCCATTAACAAGTTGACAACACAAGTTTGTACAACCCAATTGATAATTAATTCAATATGAGCATTACGTTTAAAAATGCACAAGTTTTGCTAGTTTCCAGATGAGAGACAAGCCTCTAAAATGGAAAACACGTGAATTTCAAGTGATTTCCGTAGTAGCACGGAACGCATTTTGAGATTTCAAAGTTTCCTTCATTCAACCTTGAGCTCTGTGTTTGGTTTGTTCTATTGGCCGCTTATCAGAGTAACTTTGGCCGCTTATCGGAACATTCACTTGGCGTTTTTTATTGATGCACACACACACAAACACCTTTCGCATTTAATTTTTTTAACTTTTCTCTCGTTCGCTCTCTCGTTTTTTTTATAGGTTGCTGTACCTGATCTAGTTGAGGCTGCCAAGAATGCCGATATACTAATCTTTGTGGTGCCTCATCAGTTTATACCAAATTTCTGCAAACAATTGCTGGGCAAGATCAAGCCAAATGCCATTGCCATATCCCTGATCAAGGGCTTCGATAAGGCCGAGGGCGGCGGCATTGATCTGATATCGCACATAATTACCCGCCATTTGAAGGTAACCCCCAATTTGAGAAGATGATCTTATGCAATCGTTAGCTAATCTTCTATTGTCTACAATCAGATACCATGCGCCGTGCTGATGGGCGCTAATCTGGCCAACGAGGTGGCCGAGGGCAACTTTTGCGAGACGACAATCGGCTGCACGGACAAAAAGTACGGCAAGGTGCTGCGTGATCTCTTCCAGGCCAATCATTTTCGTGTCGTGGTCGTTGAGGATGCCGATGCCGTTGAGGTGTGCGGTGCCCTGAAGAACATTGTTGCCTGTGGTGCGGGCTTTGTCGATGGACTCAAGCTGGGCGATAATACTAAGGCAGCGGTCATTCGTTTGGGTCTTATGGAAATGATACGCTTTGTCGATGTCTTCTATCCGGGCAGCAAATTGTCCACATTCTTTGAGAGCTGCGGTGTTGCGGATCTCATCACGACGTGCTACGGTGAGGGGTCCCGGGAATACAGTTGATAAATACACATCTTTAATTTATGAGCAAACATTTTCAAGGTGGTCGCAATCGTCGTGTCTCAGAGGCTTTTGTCACATCTGGCAAGACAATTGAGGAACTGGAGAAGGAGATGCTCAATGGCCAGAAACTGCAGGGCCCGCCCACTGCCGAGGAGGTTAACTACATGTTGAAAAACAAAGGCCTGGAGGATAAGTACGTTCCACGTTTATACCCAAATGAAAATCGTATTTAACTAAATCTTTGTATTTATATACTTGCAGATTCCCATTGTTCACCGCCATACACAAAATTTGCACAAATCAGCTTAAGCCTAAAGATTTAATCGATTGCATACGCAATCATCCCGAGCATATGTAAGTGTTGAGTTTCTTTTTGTTTTGTTTTGCTTTTTGCACAGCTGCACATGATATCTCCAAGAGTTCCGTATTACTTTCCCGTAAATCCCTTCCTGTCTATGCCTACGCCCAACACACACGAACACACAACCTTTTGAGTTTTCCCTTATTTTGTGTTTAATTTGCAATTTAACTTCCTTTCTTGTAACAACCAATTTATGTTAATTATTTGTTTTTAGTTATGCCTATATATTTAGTTTTGTGCACTCTTAATAACTTTCAGCATGTTTTGTTGATTTAATATATACTTCTGATTAAGTTAACTTTTTAATATAACAAAAATATGAAAAATAAAACTCAAACAAAATTCTAAATTTTCAAATTGTAAAATACTTTCAAAAAAAGTTTTTAATATATATTTTTCTTTTAGAAATGATCGCTCATTCCAAATTCCTATTCATAGTAGCTCATTTATCTAAACCCCACATCTAATCCCAATCCACCTAATTAATCCCCATATCATGTACATTTCTAAAAACAAGCAAAAAAACGACTTTTATGTTTCATCAACAAAACAATTTGTTTTCTTCTCTTCTTTTTTATATGATTTCTCATAGGGATACGTTCATCATGCCGTCGCCAAAACTCTAAACTGTGTTACACCAAAACAAATGTTCTAAAAGTTAAAATCGATTGTAAATACTATTTGTTTATAGATCAAAACAAGTCATACTCTCAATATTATCATGCACACACACTCACGCATTTGCAACCGATACGTAGTCGAAAATCGTTTCCTTCGCCAAGTTCAACACGCATTTTATAATTCTACTCTATTCTATTTAAAATGGTTTTCAAAAACCGCCCAATTGTTTTTCCAATGTATGTGTTCATAGGTGAAAATGTCAGTGTCATATTTGTTAAACCAAAATCAGTTTTGTTAAACATGAATAAAGTATTTAAATATTGTTTTTGTTCTGTACATATCAAAAGAAACTCATAATTAGGAAAAATATTTTTTAAATAAAACATATTTTTTGAAGAAATTGGCAGCTATACAAATCGGCAGCGAGCAGTACGTATCAAAATTTGATATATTATTAATTGAATTTTACGTTATTTTTTTAACTCACGTTTGTATTTGAATGCAATTTGAAATGTTACGCTTTTAAATGCCAAGCACTTTTATAAATAATGAGTTTTGTTTTCTATTCCGCAGGCAAACTTTGTAAAATATATTAAAACACAAAATTTTTAAACGTTTTTATGCACCAAAAACAAAGCAAACACGAGCAAATAGTCATTTTTTCAGCACACATTTCAAAATCCTCAGACGCCAGCCAACGACAAGAATGGTGTATAGGTTGTTAATTTATTGTTAAAATCCAACGCATATCCAGCGAACCACAGAAACGAACAAGCACCAATCTTGAAGTCTGCTTTTTGTTTTAACTTAGTTTATAAATGATAAATTAGCAAATGAAATTGTGCGCATGTACCTAAAGACAATTGTAAATGAATTTTACAATTACAATTTAAAACAACTGAAGAGGCGTAATAAACGGAACAACAATGGTTTAATTTAAAAATTAAAAACTAAGACATACGGAATTTATTTGCATTAGTAAATTCTTCTGCAATATAAAGTCATAAATTAAATGTAAAATAAAAATGTGTTAAATAAACAAAAGACAAAAAAAGAGCTCTACATTTATTTTTGAATAGATTTTCTAAAGGTTGCAGAGAGGATTTGAACCGAACCGACTTGAAGCTTGAGGCAAATTCGGGTTGGCGCTCTAAAGTTTGTCAATAATTTAATTTAATAAATTAATTATTTTAAAAAAAATTAACAAATATCAAAATCAAGATTTTAACTAGCAGCTGGGCTTGGAGATGTGGAAAATCGGGTTCTCTAACCGAACCCTAAGACGAGAAAATGCTTCGCACCGTGGACCGAACTACAAAAAAGGTTTTTTAGGTTTGCAGCTTTAGTTTTTAAAATATATTTTTTACGTGGCCTTATTTTAAATAATGTGTGGGAATATATCGATATTTCTAAAACTTACATATCGATTATTGCCAAACAGCTGTTGGGCTGTCATTTTGCAACACTTGAAATACAACTCTGTGTTTACGTTTCTCGCTGACTGTTGGTTTTTTTTTGGCAATAACAAAAGTTTTTTTCTTTTGCCCAGTGGAATATTTTAGCTACACAGAACAAGAATAACGCTCAATAATGCAGTTAAATAGCTGGATAATTGTATAAAAATCAATATATGTATATAAGTATCTGTTGAATATGTGGCACTGTGCATTTACTGTGCACTGGACAATGGCGTCATAAATACCTTTGTGTATTTTTGTAGGGGGCCAAATCATAAACATCAAAATAGAATTAGGTGAACTACGTGAAATGCCAGCTGCAAATTGTGTGTGTGTGTGTGTGTGTGTAAACGTTTGAGTGTGCTTATTAATATATTATTGCTGTTGTTGTTTTTTTCAGATGACAGACGTAAAAATCTGCAACGCATAAAGCTAAAACACCTAGGCTAATAACAAAACGCAGTTGAAAGCAATAATTAAAATTAAAGAAGAGACGCTTTATGGCGTTCGATTTGTAGTGAACGAGATGGACCCACAAAAGATCAGCGAATTGGCCAATTTGCTGCGCAAAAATGGTGATAAAATCCTGAGCTCCGAATTTACCTTGACCTTATCAGGTGAGCAGCAGCAGGCATGGATGGGCATGCGGGTGAGACATGACCGCACCCACCAGTTGCTTTGTTCTAAGCTCGGTCTGCTTATCAGCTTAACCCATTTTCTTAATCTCACACACATTCACACACACACAATTGCAGGTCCGCTGCTGCGTGCTTTGAACGATTCCTTTACATTGATTGCGGACAGCGATATTGTGGCTGGAGCGGGCCTTGGCCCAACCCACAAGAACCAGCATGCGTTTCAGGTGGTCAAACCCATCAATGCCAAGTCGAGCGTATTTCCGGATCTGCAGCTGCTTCATGATTTCGTGCAGAAGACAACGTTACTGAAGCTCAACTATTTCCCCAGCGAGCATTACTTTGAGGGCGCCATCGACATATGCAAGTTTCGTGCGCTGCGTCGCCTCGAGGTGCACAAGATCAACATATGCCAGGTGGTGGGGATTCAAGCGCTTCGCGCCCAGCTGCAGCATTTGATATGCATCAAAAGTATAAGCAATGTGGAGGATATCATAACGCATTGCGGCGGTGATAATTCGAATGGTTTTGTCTGGAACGAGCTGCAGTCCGCGGACTTTAGCTACAACAATTTGCGTGCAGTGGACACGGCTCTGGAGTTTGCCCAGCACTTGCAACATTTAAATTTGCGCCACAATAAGCTGACCAGCGTTAGGGCCATCAAGTGGCTGCCGCATCTAAAGACGCTCGATCTGAGCTACAATTGTCTGACGCACCTGCCACAGTTTCATGTGGAGGCCTGTAAACGGCTGCAGGTGCTCAACATAAGCAATAACTATGTGGAGGAACTGCTCGATATGACCAAGCTGGATGCGCTTACTACCATGGATTTGTCAGACAATTGCCTGCTGGAGCACACGCAGCTGCTGCCGCTGAGCGTTCTGATGACGCTCACCACGCTCAATTTGCAGGGCAATCCCCTGGCCTGCCATCCCAAGCATCGCCTGGCCACGGCACAGTATTTGCACAAGAACACGGCGACTGTGAAATTTGTGCTGGACTTTGAGCCGCTATCAAAGGCCGAGAAGGCACTGACTGGCAGCCAGCAGCTGCGCTTTGTGGGCACCATGAGTCATCGGCTAGTCAGCAGTTATGTATCCATAAATAGTTCACGTGCCTCCGTCAATACGCCGCCTTCTAGTGTGGGCTCGCAGCTTTCGCTGTCGGTCAGAGGCAGGGATTCATCGTCCGAGGCAGAACAAGCACCAACGGATCTGCAAATTAGCAAAAAACGCACTAAAAAGCAACGCACTGTGGAAATCGCTGAACATGGCGACGAGACGGCAATAGAAGCAGCAACCACAATCGCAGACACCGAGGCAAATAGTCTGTTACAAGAGAGGCCACAAGAGACCACAGATGGCAGCCATCTGGAGACGAAAAAGAAAATTGAGACACTGCGTCTCAAGTATGGCAACGAGTGGCTGCAGTCGGGAAATGCGGAACAAATGCTGGGCATTGACACGCAGCAGCCCAGCGAACAGGAGCGTCACGTTGCACGCCAGCAGTTCAACGAGTTCCTGGGCGAGTTCTCGCCGGCAGTGCAAGAGGCCGAGTCGGAGCCAGAGCTGCTAAATATCAGCTCCACGCCTACGAACAACAGCAATTGGGAGGTCGCATTTGAATCAAATTTGACGCCTATCAATACAGAAGGCAGTCCCACGGATGCCGCCGACCTAACACAGCAAACAGTTTACGAGTCGTGCGACAACAGCGTCCAGACGCAATATGAGAGCACGAACGCCACAATGCAGGAGGAGCAAACGGAGGAGCAGGACGAAGTACAGCAGCAAGAGATTGACAAGCACAAGGAGGTGCTAAGTCGCTATTCAGCTGCTAGCGCTGACCAGGACGAGGAACCAGGTGAAATCCTAGCGTATTTTGCACCATGAACCGAACCTAAAATCATGTTTAATACTCTTCCAGTTTCCGAAGAAGAGCCCGATGAGAAGCTGTATATTGTCTACCATGCGCACAAGACCAGCGAGCCCTTGTTTCTTACCATATCCTCGAATTACATTCGCGAAAAGGATGCACTCAGCGAACGGTATGTGTTTGCCTTCTATATAGCACATATATATATTATTTATTTATTACATATATTTACTTTCAGCACTAAGACCAAATGGAGCATCAAGGTTTTGGAGTCCTGTGAGCGAATCAAATCGAATACGCTACGCATTAATTTTGATACAATGCAAAAGGACAAACAGGAGCGCATTTATTGTGTGGAGAATGCATTATGTCAGGTATATGGGATATATATAGCAGCAATCCATATCGAAACAATTAATAAAACTGTGTACATTTAGGAACTTGAAAAGAAACTACGCGACATTCTTTCCCAGCGTGATCTCACCGATATGAACATAACCATTTATAGCTGCATCAATTGTGGCATTAAGTTTACCAGAGAGCGCAAAATCAAGAACTACAAGACAGCGGGTACAAAGAGCCACAGTGGACACTAACTAAAATCGATTCTGACTGCAGTTTAAATTCTTTTTTGACAGAGCCACGTTGTCCGGACTGTCGCAGCCTGTTCGTCGCGGAGGTGAACGATGATGTAACCGGCTCGCTGGACAAGCCCAAAGTGTCCAGCATGGAGCCGAAGCTGTCGCCAGCGTTAATAGTGGAGGAATCGCCAGTGGACACGCCGCTGGTATTGCAGTCCAAGGAGGACAATCAAAGTATTGGCAAGTTTTTGTCTAGTCTTCTATATTATGTCGAGCAAGTTATGGAAAATATTTAAGAAAATAAGAGAAAACAACAAAAACCAAAAAAACATTTAACATATAGTTTTGTGTAACATATTCAATGTATTTCGGTCTTTGTGAGCGGCTTTTATTTTATGTTTCTTGTAGTTATGAGTTTTGGCTATTTGTTTAATTTCGTTTAATCGTATTTGATATTGTTTTTAATTTAATTTTTATTTCTTTTTCTTTTTGCATGCTATGAATTACAAAACCCAAACACACACACATACACACCCATATATATATATCACACGTAAATCAAATGGCAAAATGCGACTTAATCTAACTTTTGTATATTTTTATATATTCTTTTTATATACTTTTCGCTCATCCAACTACAACAACAACAACCTTCTACAATTGTTAAATACTATTTAATTATTTAGTGGCCAACAGCAGGCTCATCGCTAATAACACACCCAAGTGTAGGAGTTTGATGCAAACCACAAAAAGTTAATATTCCAATTGTATTGTATTTCAATATTTAAACTTCTTTTTCTTTGTTGTTTAACAACAATTTGCATTTGGCTTCTTGTTGTAAATGTGAAGCAGCATTTGGGCAGCATGAAAACAAAATTAACAAATCAATTTATACAGCTAACAAAAGTAAAATCTATTCAAAATTTTTGTAAACAGCTAACGCACCATTTAAGCTACGATCACTAAAGAGAAAGCAAAGCAATGCTGCTTCCATTAGAGATTATATATCGGTTTTAGCACTATTACAAGCCCAACTAATGCTTGTCAATTGTTCCACAGGCTCGGCTAATTCGCTAAATGAGAGTAGCTCCTGCTCGAAGATAACTAACTCGCAATGCTCCTTTGACTCGAATCAGTCGGTGGTGGGCAGCTCCAATACAGAGCGCGATTTGGAGTTTCGTGCCAATGAGAGCGATGTGGACATTATATCCAATCCGAGCCAATCCAGCATTGAGGTGCTGGATCCCAACTGTGTGCAGAGCGCCAGTCGCAAAACCTCCGAGGAGCGTCGCATATCCCAAATCCCGAATCTGCAAACCATTGACGATCAACAAAGTCAAACCCAAAGCTTCATTGAACGAGAGTTTGGGCAACTGCTCGCCGAACAGGCCAGAGCACAGACACTG